GTTACTCACCCTGCTCGTACAATGCCTGTTTTAAATTTATAGACTGATCCACTACAAAGGGGTAGTAGTAGTAGAGTCCTAGGCCTAATAGTTGTCACTAAAATCACTATTGTTGCATTTAGCTAGGAACATTAGAATCATTTCTTTGATTAACTTTTTTTTCCCTGCATAGAAGAGGCAAATCTTCATTCAATCATTTATTCACTTATTAATGTATTAATTTATTTATTTATTCCCTTCCTGTTTATTTTGCTCTTCACTTATTTGTTTAGTTGTTTTATTATTGATTTTATATTTAAGTTTGTTTCGACTTATTTTCTTTGAGGCATGCCCATCACAAGATCTTTTTCTTCTCGGGATCATGCCTTCTTGAAAAGCTTGTTTTCGTTTTTATCTTAAATCATATTGTTATTGTATATGTTGTGTGTTTGTACTATGGAAGTAAATTAATGTCTTTTGAAATGAAATTAAAACTTCTTTATCATAATGTATATTATACAAAAGCTAGAATGAAAGATGTCCAAAATTTTGTACAATTCAGTGGTTGATTTAAACAGTGTGACAAAGATAGAAAACCTTATCTTATTTTTATCCACATATCATATTCTTTCTAATTTCATTTGCAGGATATTGTAGGAGGTACAGTAATGCAGTCATTATGGCAATTAATTTTTGCCTGCCTATTTACAAACCAATAATAACATCTTCAACTGTCTCTGCTGATAGTTATGAGATATGCAATTTGATCAGCGGAGATTTCAGAAGATCTCACCAAGGCTTTGTCGCTGAGAGTTTCATTAGGCCTCCAATTACTGTAACATTGGAATTTCTTTGCAACATTTCAATACAGAGTATAGTTATAGCGCCCTCTGTTGGCCGACAAAGGTCTTCATCGTTTGAAATATACACAAAATCCATTCCAAGCCATAGGAGATTGTTACCAAACCTTGACCTTTGTGTCAATCATCACCAGGCAACAGATGAAAGCTCAAAAGCAAATATGATTGCCTATGGTGCTACTGAAGTATTAGTTGGAAAAGCATTTTCACAAAATCCAGATGTTAATTTATTCCGTTTTGAAAACAAGAAATTCACTGCAAGACAGCCATTTATGGATTGTTCAGCAAATCATTCAGGACATGAAGGAAATGTAATCATAAGATCATTACATCATCATCGAAGTAAACCATTGGCTGATGTAAGTCACCTGACTGTCCGCATTGTTCGTGTCCTTGGTGCAACAGTACCATGTATTAAAAAGATTGAAGTGTGGGGGCAGCCTTCCTTTGCAAATAATCAAAGTATTATTAATTCGATTGCAAAGATATTCACAAGTTTGAGGGCTCCTAAAGAAGTTCCACATCAGAAACAAGAGGATAAAGATACTCATCAAGGCACCACTGAAGCTCCAACAACTGACAGTGTTGAGGCTTCCTCTAAGAATGGAACAGAGTGTCCTGAAGAATTCATTGACCCAATTACACTTGAAGTTATGGCATTGCCAGTTTTACTCCCATCTGGTCACACGGTTGACCAGTCAACTCTGGACCGGTATGAAATTTCAAATGCCCAGTGGGGCCGGCCTAAAACTGACCCCTTTACTGGTGTCCCTTTCTCAGAGACTCTTAAACCTATACCTCATGCAAGGCTTAAAACTCATATAGATAAGTTCCTGTTAACAGCAGGGAAAGAGTTTGACACAGTTGCAAGGACTTCTGGGAGGTCCAGTGCTAATGCAGCTCTCGTTTCTACAATTGTCGCAGACAAAAATGTACAGTTGCCGGTAGAGAGAAAGGAACTTAATATTCGTTCAAATGCGAGACATTCCCTTAAACAGAGTATACCAATGCAACAATGCAATGCAGAAGATCGACACAGTAATCAAGACATTCTTAACTACCAATATTCAGTGCATAGTTCAAATGAGCAGCCGAGTGTTTGCAAGGGTGTGTCACGTAATCTGCAGCCCAATATTAGTAGGACCACAAAGAGAAATTCCAGTGCACAAGATATTTGTACCTCTTCAAACAAAATGAGGAAAACAGGAAATGGTAAGAAGTGTATAATGTGTTATTGCCCTTACTAAGCCAATAATTGCTTAAGCCTGGCTTGCACAGCGTCCTACGACGGTCGTATGACCGTCGCACGACGAATCTAACTCAGCTCTCTGTAAGCATTAGACGACACAACACAGTTTCCAGATTGCAGTTGGCAGTCTGAATGGATCGTTATTAGTAGGGTTCACAGGGAGAGTTTTTATGGCTTAGTATGGCCCAAATTGTGCTTTTTAGCTGGTCACGCCCTGCGTCGTACGACCGTCAAATCCAACTCGGCTCCTTGTCAGCACTAGATGACTCAACACCATCTGCTTATTGTCGGTGGCAGTTTGAACCAATCGTCATTAAAATTTGCGTTCTTCATAGAATCGCATCGGGTTCTGTTAGTGCACAACTAATAATAAAGATTGGCGATAGATAATTTATTATTTTTGGTCCGATGACCTTGCAAATGCTCTCCCGTAGACGCCAACACTGTTAAGGATCCCAGTCTAACTAATAGATATTTTTTTCTTTCCCAAAAGCTACCACTCATGAACAAAAACTAGCAGACAGTTTGGAAGATGCAATGAATAGTATCCTAGCAACCAGACGCAACTACAGGAAACTTACCATTCCTAGCTCGGCAGGTAACAGTTTTTTATTAGTATCCTTTACTTTGAGAAAGCGTCTGGAGCTCAAGTCTAGCATAAGATAAGTGTCTGGACCTCAAGTCCAAAATAGGTGCATGCAGCAACAAGAGGTCAGGTCAGGAAATATGAATCTTTGTCACCCAGCAGGTTCCAATTTATACTATATCATTTTTTAAACAAATATTTATCTTGGATACATCCAGTAATCAAACACAGGTGCATTACGTCCTCCAGAAATTTACTGTTACAAGCTCATCTTTCAGTGCTAAGTTTAGTTCTGGAACTTGAGATCAAAAACTGTAAAAATGCAACATTTAGGATTTTCTTGCTGGTTCTCTGGTTGAGTACGATTTGTAATTTCTGTTTTGTTTACTTTTTGTCATCAATTTTTTTTTTTCTCTTTTCCATTGGACAATTGTTGAAGTTAAAAATGACCAAGTATCTTACATTAGTTGTTATTAAAATTAATCCTGTTAGTTTGTTCATTTTATGGTGAATTTTAAAACACCAACCATTTTTTTTGTCAGTGGATTGTATGAAATGAATTTGCATAATTAAAAATGTCAAACAGTTAAAATTACTAAATTACATTGAGAATCAGGAAAAGTATACAATATTAAAATGTTATTGAATGGATGGGGATGCCTAGACAACCAATTAAATTCCAAAATATTTCCAATGGGATCTAAATTTAACATACCATCAGTTTTATACAAATCAAGACCATTTATTTAATTCTCTTCTCATTTAGAACCACCGATCCAAGTTTGTGCATCTTGCAAGACGAAGCCCGTCACTAGATCTGTGTTCTACCGTCTTCCGTGTCAACATCTTATGTGCAGACAGTGCGTGACACGCGAAGGTAATAACAAATGCGCTGCATGTGGTTTCGGCTTTAACAACTTTGATATAGTGAGAGTCCATGTCAGCTGATTCTGTGCTGCATTCCATGATGCGAATCTGTCTATTGGTACTCAACCATAGAGTCATTTGTTCACTGGTCCAAATCCACTCATTCTAGCTGTAATACAAAAGTATCTATCCTTTGGAAGAACAATCATTCCATTGAATAAGACCTCTGACTGTCTCAGTTACGACTTATCAGTGCTTCCTTTGTTCGCCATTCACAAGGATACCTATACTAAGTAAAAGACTTGCATGTGACAGACATTGTACAGTAATCATCATTGAACAAGTACTGTAATTCTACTTTATCAATATCAGCAAATAGGTCAGGAATTTCCCATTCTTCTGCATCTAGTTATTCCAATAGCAACTCCATATTGGGTTAATATTACAGCAGTGGGTCATTAATATATGGAACAACCTGGACAAACTAGATAAGAAATTAAAACCTAGTTTTTTTTATGATTAATTCATTCTAAATTATTCATTATAACTAATTCAATTTATAATTGAAATTGTAACTGTAAAGTGGGTTAAAAGGGCATGTGTTACAACCTCACATGCAGCCAAAATGGATATTAATAGACCAATTCGGTGATGTTTGTTTACATCCGGTCACGTGACATGAGTTTGATATACCATGGAAAATATTTGAGTGCGATCAGTGTGAAAGTATAGGAAAAAGTAATTTTATGGTTTTTTAAAACCCCCCACACCCCACTGTTAACGCGAGAAATATATCGCAAGGAAAGTCAATACGATTGTTGAGAATAGTTTTTATTTACTTATCTTAGCCTTGTATGCTTTAAAATTTAAGAGATTTCTTAAGCCTTAAAATCGTAGCATAGTTCCTAAACAGGCTGTATTTGCAGTGGCCTAGACCTAACATTTGTCGAAAAATCTCAATGTTTGCGGCTATTATCTTTTAGAGCATTAGCAATATCCACGTAATCACTGCTGTGACGCCCATCGCCAGAACACTCCATTAAATCGAGTTAACTGAAAAAACACACATGCACTTTTGGTGGAAGCCTACGCAGCTTTGTACTTTCTGACGAGAGAAAATGTGTTTATATTTTGCAAAGTAACAATTAAAGAATCGTTTGAGGTTAATTAATTACTCAGTGTAATATATTTTTTATTTTTATGTTATTATAAATCCATTTGAGAAGCACTGCCCTAGGTACTCTTTTCCTTTGATCATTATCTGCAACATCGTCAGGGCCACCTGGGGATTTTCTTAATTGCAGTACGCATAATTCAGCATTACCAATCTCTTTCAGATCATGTACTATTATTGAGTGAAGAGAGGTAAACAGATAGTGTTCTGTATACCAGCTTTTGCTGTCAAAATTTGAATTTGCTTATAGATTTAACAACTATTACCCCATGCATGAAAAGTTCTATGAAATATTGTTCTCTGTCACTGCCGTATATATTGTGACATGGAATGTTTTCTGACAGTGGAACGCACCTTAAAAAAAAAACAGACAAATATTTTTGGTGCTTTAATTTATTCTGCAAAGAAGCCTCCACTATTGAACATCTTAGTAATGATAAATTATATACTTTTTAATAATAAAGATAACAATAAAGTAATAATATTTATACATTTTTTATAAATAAAATATTTTTCAATATTTCATGGCATTAAATACATTTAACTGATTTTGATAGCAATATTACCATGACATGAATGCTTTTTCACTTTATTAGATCATGTAGGTATAAAATTTGATACTTCATAATGTCAATGAATAGATATTCAGATATATGCAAATTTAATCCAGATATCATTTTATAAAAATCAATCATTATATCCCACCATGCAATGGCAAACAACTGAAGCAAGATTCTCCAAATTGATGTTGATTCGACAAGCTCTCTAATTAAACTAATCTAACTTGCCAAATTGTATTGAAAAAATGGTTTGATGGTCCGTAGTCAACATACAATTTTTTTTTTGAATTATCACTCTTCCACACCAATAGTCATTACTATTGTCTTGATAGTTATAAATAATAGACAACCAACACAAGAAAAGTGTTGGATCACCAACATGTTTTAGATACGAAAAGCACAGGAATATCATAGTTATCAATTATGAAATAAAAAAAAAATATGCATAAATTATTTGGTTTAGATTGCATCCAGAATTTGTCTATTGTTTATTATTTTTACCCGTTTGGCTGTTGCATCAAGCTTTTTGAGGAAGGCTATAAAGCGTAATGACAATGATAGAAAGGGAAATGTAAGAGTCATTATACAGACTTTAACATTTAGTTAATTGCCTTTAAATGATAAGGAATTAAGGCCCGCTTAGTATTGTAAATGGCAATCATACAAATCGGGTTAAGCTATGCTATGAGTATAATAATGTAAATTTTTCCTCAGGGTAAAAACTGTTTTCCCCTGCATTCATTCACATATACACAAAGAAGTTGAAAAGTTGCCAAGCCTATGATCATTATCTAATCCCACCATCCATCACTGTGTAAGTCTAACATTTGGCGAAGCTGTATTTATTATTATGTATTCAACTCTTGACATTTTGCTCATTAAAACTTCACATATGTTACCCCAAATTATATACACAACCCGGACCTGATAGACCTAAAGAAATATTAAACATCTTTTATTTAGACAGTTACGCCATCTAAAATATTACTACAGTACCTACCTGTTCATATAGTAATGAACTGAATTTATATTTTGACGATTTTCATTATTATTTATACAGATATAATCTTGCTGAAATATATATCGTTAAATTCAGATGGAATGTAATTATGAATTTTAGTTGTTTTTAGTTAAATTTAAAAGAAAAAAATAAACAGTGAAACTATATACATATACATATAAATATATATATTTAATGTAATAATGTATAGTATATTATAAATAAATATACAGTACACTAAAGTACATAAATATTAATATGTATACATGGGTGCTCCACATACAGGTAAATGGTGACAGGTGCTCATTGGTGGACTTAATCCCTGTACATTTGACAAAAACATGATATGCCCAAATATGGTCATGATGACATATCAACTATATATGGGCATATAGTTTTTTGTCAAAGCAAATTTTATAATCTGGACAGGGTTTTAAAATCACTGATGTATTAGTACTTGATTATGTCTACCACTTAACCACCAGCCTTATCTCTGATGAAGGCCACAGGAGTAGCAGTTACAGCATATATACATATAATATATATATATATATATACACATATATATATATATATACATATACATACATATATATATACATACATACATACATAATAAAATGTATATACATACATAATATTAATGTAAGTTTATATACATACTATATATCATATATAATATATATTGAGGTTCCATTTGTGATTCCTACATGGTATTTGTTTCCTATGTATGTATGCATTCATGCATATTATTTATATATATATATATATATATATATATATATATATATATAAAACCAGGCCGACTACTTTTCTGCTTGTACTAAAAAATTTATTTACAATAATGGTGAGCAGATACCAGTGCTGCTCCCACATATGATGACCTCCTCCTATGGGTGGGGCATCTGTTTTTGTGCCCATGCTTGCCACTCTATGGGTGTCATTTTTTGATCAATTTAAATCTAATTCACAGCTAAAATGCTCTTCAAAATTTGATTAACCTTGGAGGATTTTCCACCTGGAATAAAAAATATTTTTAAAAGGCACTAAAATTCTTAGAAGTTATTGCTTTTTGTTTTTTTTTTGTTTTCGGTTTTTTTTTAGAATCTTCCATCATCGTTATGATATTAGTAGTTCCTGCTCGTGTTATGAATTTAGAAGATGATGAGGGATGACAGAATTAGCATGAACAAAGTAAAAATGGATGACGTGGTGCAAGAAGCGATACTTGTGTCTGAAAGAAAAATAAACAAAAAACAGTAGTTAATATAAATTACAAAGTAAAATTAAAGGAAAGTTAACAAATATGACATGATTAGGAAGTTTATTTTGTTTTGATTCAGTCCACTGCTTTACTTGGAATGTTTTAACATATCACACCAAACCTAAAAATCTGAAGGATGTGGTCCAAATCCCATTTGAGGCCCCCTTGTTCACAACTATTTGAACATGGCAACACATTTAATTAAATTTAATGAAAAACATTCATTTTGATAATTTTTTAGTTATTTAAAATGATTACAGTATTGTAAAGATGATGGAGCTACCAAAATTATATAATACAGTACAGTACTATATTAAAATGTTAGTTGTTATGATATCTATTTTTGTATTTGTAAGCTCCATGTAAGCTATGGGACACGGTTCTATGTTTTTTTTTATGTGTGTTTGGTTCATGCATTATGTTTTCTATAAATAAGATTGAAACAAACAAATAGTAGAATTTTATTGACATTTTAATAAATATTTGTGTATATTCCTTATTATTCCCTTCAAACTAAATCATCATAATTATTTAAATAATTTATTTGTTCTATTCATTAAATATTTCTTGTAAATAGGTGAAAACATCTTTGTGAAATTCACAATCAGCTGGTTCACCATTGCTACCGTGATCTTCAAACATGTGTAAGAAAAAACAAATGATATCAGAAAATGTAGGCCCAGTACCTGGATTGCAAGTCGAGTATTTTTTACCCAGTTCATTTTTTTCTGCCGCATATTTGATATCATTGGCGACCTCGTCTCGGTTTTCTCCTGAAATAGAAGTCGGTGAATTAATGTTTAATTTTTAAAATGCATGTTTCATTTTTTTCATTGTACAGTACTTTGAAAATGATTTAAGTTAATATTATTATTAGTGTGATGGAGCAATATTAACCCAGGCAGAAGACAGGGACAGAGATATTATATATTTTTATTGTGACTACATGCATTTCAACTGAGTTAAAATACTAAAAATGACCCTTAAGTTTTCATTGGAATAAAAATGTAGCTCAATATTCGCACACCCCCACCTCCCCAGCCTGAAATATGGAACCAGCCTAGGCCTGTTTAAAATCACAATTTTACCCCTTAAACCATGAAATCTCTTGTTGACTCCCTACCTACCAGGGATTTGACACCTGAACCTTAAAACTGAAGGCACTTGGTTCAAACTTTTTTTAAATCTCTCTCACCCCGCACTCCGTTTAAAAAGAGGCTTTGTATTTCTGCATTTCCTATAGAATTCCTGTACTTGGGGAAATCTATTTCGTATGGTTAATGAATGGGAAACAAGAAAAAAATAAATAAATAAATAAAATAAAAATAGAATTAATGGCCTGTAGTGTCAATCAGACTTAACAAGTGACTAATCAGAACGGTGGAGTACAGTACAAGCCGTCCATTACCTAAAATCCAGAATTCCACCGTCATCCATTTTCCCTTGCACTCCACTTGTTCTGCATCCTTTGGATCAAGAGTTGCTACAATTTGCCACATTTCCACGGATTCAACATTTGTTGATAAGGTTTCTCTGAAATCGTATCTAAAAATAGAAAAAAGAAATGGCAATTAGGTACAAAATATCATATGTTGCTCCTTGAACATATAATATCTGTGTTTGGCCTATCAACTTAACACTAACATCAATGAACATATACATGAATGATACTAAATCTATTTTGCATTGACCTTTGAACTTTTTGTTAATCAATTTAGATATGTTTATGGTAAATTCTATCAGTAAAATAAGGATTCTTCCATGATTTGAAGGCTTCGACCCGAGATGGATGTGGACTATTCATTCTTACAACTTACTTCCAGAAGGGGCACTAATTTGTGGGGGGCATAGTAATACGGCCCGACAGCCATTTTTTGGCAGGGGCATAGTAATACGGCCCGACAGCCATTTTTTGGCATTCTGCGAATGTGAATTTAAAACGCTATGTGTGCGGCCCGCCAAGCAACATTGGCTAGAAAACTCCTTGTTTTTAACGGGCCACCACCGATTATATATAAAAAGTAATATTAAAACTGGGAATAAAGTGGTGTAAAAGCAGTGCTTGGAGGTTTTTGGTGCGGCCTCGGTGTTTCAGTAAATTTCAGTAAATTAAACTATCATTTTAAAGCTTAAAATGTGCAGAATGTGAATATATCAACAAGTTAATGTTCTTGAATTAGTCACTGATACTAGGTTTGCCTTGGCAAGCTTGATTATTATATCTAATATCAGGAAATGCTGTATAAATAGGTTTATTGAAGTTTAATCAGGTCCCCTCACACACCTCATCCATTACAAATTTGTAGCATTGTAAAAAAAACCAACGGAATGAGGAAGTATATAAAAAGTTTGCAAATGAACAAAGTTTTCTTACGCATCAAATTGTTGTATATGTGGGAAGGTGAGTGACATTAGTTTTCCGGTTGATGATGTCGGCACCAAGGTGCTACAGCTTATTTTGCTGTTGCTCGAGCCGGTTAGATATATGTTATGTCCAATGACTGCCAAAAGAATGAAATAAATATTTTGTTAACAAATATTATGAATACAAATAAATTCAACAATTTGCCCATATATGGGTATGATGACAACGTAATTGCCATATATGGTCAAATCATGTGTGGCAATGTCAAGCCAAACCAGTCACTCGTGGCAAAACGAGTGACTGGTTTGGTTTGTCTTTGCCACATATATTTGTCACATTATATCAGTGGTGGATCCAGGATAATTTTCACCAGGGACTGGGAACAGTCAAATATTCCCCCTGCAGTTTTAGCCAAATTATATTTTATTTTATTTTAATGATGTTACACTTGGTTGAGATGTTTTGGCTGCTGTCTGGAGGGGCAAGTGGCCTTTCTACAGACAGGCACAATGTTCAGTTGTTCAGTTAAATTTTATTTCAGGAAAAGTTTTTGTGAAACTTAATTAAAAATATATTGCAAAATATACATTTTACCTTTAATTTACCTTTAATTTTACACTTTACATTTAATGCATGTATGATTGTTAGCAGTATTGTTAAAACTTTATTTCAACATGGAAGGTTGTTGCCCACAGTGGGTGTTTTTCTACAAGGTCGTGTACCGTAGTTGTAAAGTGAATGTCAATCATTAACAAAAAACCAGCAATTTACAATAGTCTATTTTATTTTTTTTGCATTTGGTGCATTCCTCGATTGTTCCACAAGACTTGGCATGGAACAGACCCACGCACACAATTTTTAATGACGCAAACAATCAGTAAATGGAATGATTGATTGATTATCATACAGCTAATTCTTTTAAATTTAATATTTGGGTGATCAACTTAAAAAACAAAATCATTTGATATTGTTTCTTAGTAGAGAAGTGCTCAGTCAAAATATATTCTAAGGAAATTTATAATTTTTCTATTTTCATTGAAATTTTCAGACTAATTATCATAGTTCGTTGAATTAACGTGCACATTGTGTTTGGCATTGATACACATGATGGTTTTCAAAAAGACTGTTTTGTCGTTTGAGAACAATAAGAAATCTGGGCCAGAACATTTCAACTATATACCTACTGACGCCTGTTGATCATTCATCCATTTAATAGAATTTAAACCCATTATTTTTCTTCTAGTTATTAAAAAAGCATGGTACAAGGAGAAAATCAGTTGTACGACTGTATCTAAAAATTGTTTTCCTCCGGAGCCTTAAAAGATAAATCCAAAGTGATTCTTGGTCCCTAGGTATTTATGTTTATGAAATTCAATTTAATATGGAGTAATTTCATCTCATTTCCAATTATCTTCTAATATGATTCTAGAATGTGTTATTATTTTATACTTGGAAACTGTTCAGTAAAGCTGATGTTCTCTCACAAGATTGGTTATGCTTTATAAAGTCTCAGGATGGAGCAATGTTTTATGTCGTGAGAACAAATTTTAGATTTTGAACTCTAGGATTGGCTATGATTTCCGGCCATCTGGAGGGTGCCATAATAATAAACCATGGTGGACATGAGGTGGTATTGACCCCTTATCTGTGAAAGTCGCCCTAGGCCCCCTTTATTTCAAATTCCTGCATTTGCCAACTGTATGATTTGAAAAGACTTAAATCTCGAATCTATTCAGTATGTCTGTTTAAAGTTGACAAATGTTATGTAGTCATTTGTTTGAAAATAAAACAAGTGACTCTACATATTCACATATAATCAATTGAATAAGATTAATTGGCTAGGTTCAGGTCATGTTGAATTTAACTCTCTACAAATAAACATCCAGGGACATATGAAAACCTGCTAAAATTTGCAACGTATTCTAATTTGATTATATAAATATTCAGTGATTTAAATGAATATTCATTATTGAGTCAACAGTCTAAACCTGAAACAGGAAAGACTTACTGAATCAGATCAGAAAACTTTTTTTAAGGTGTTGTCTAGATAAAATTTTCTATCATGACAGAAACTGTTGTAAGCACATATATGGTCATGATGTGCCTATATATGGTCAGGATATGATGTTATCATGACCATATTTAGGCAGATCAAGCCAAAATAGCATCTCTTCAGTCGGGCTACACTACCAACTCCCTGGTTAATGATAATAAGCCTCTAAGCGCGTCACATTATTACCCCGGTCATTGGATCAAACATGTATGGAACACATACTCAGCTCCCTGGCAGCAATAATGTTGCAGCTAGTAATTAGTGCAGTTGTGTTTGAACCTACCAGGTACCCACTTGTACTCCTGGGTGGAGATAGGCAAAGGTAGGTAGTATCTGGCCTGAGGACACAAGCAATGCGACGAGCGTCGGTCTCAAACTCCCGATCCTGCGATCAGAAGTTCAACGCCTTACACGCTACACTACGCCCACACGTTACACCTATGTATTGTGAAAGGAACTTCAAGGTTAAATTTAGGGCATTTTAAGAGTCATCCTTTATTTACAATAAACTGAATGTTTCATGAACCCAATGCTAATCCAGATATTTACATAATAATCACACACTGCCTATTCATCCAATCAAAAAATTCTGTTAAAATAAATGTCTCCAATTTATAGTTGGTATGGTTTTAACATTTCCATGCAATACTTTGTTTTCCTTGTTTTTAATTTATTTTTCAATACCAACCTGATGAGCGGCCTGAAAGGTCAAGGTTCACATCGTTAAAGATGGCACTTGTTAAAGATGTGCTGAACTTCCCATGTTTTAATGCGAGGTCTCCGACTGCGCATCTAAGCTGACTAGATAATCCACACTGTTCATTATAATTTGCCTAAAAGAACAAAAATGTGAAAGGTTACATCAACTTTACTTTAAATCATCAAAGTGTTACTGTTTGTGCTATTAAACGTGAATAAAAATTAGATTTACATGTATTGCGAATCTTCTAAAATTAAAATTAAATGGGTCCCAAGTCTTCCGGATATCAGGACGTCCTCCCGCAACCGGACAAGAATCTCCTGGAGAAGTAACTCATCTCCCGCAAATTCATTAAAATCTGCATGTTTTACTACAGTACTACCCTTTATTTTCTTTTAGCTCACAGAAGTAGTTTCGATAGGTATCATGAAGCAGGGGAAAAAAAATTAGATGTGCTATTAGGAATGCTTGTTTAAACCAATCTGCCTGAAATGACTTCTACCAAATTTGGACCCCTATAATTAAAGCTAAATTTGTCCATATTATTTTTTTTTTACATTGAATTTGTTTAAATATATACAGTACAACTCTTTAAATGTTTTGTAAAATTCTGAGATTTCCTTTTTAATTTTTTTTTCGTTTTTGTGAAGATGTGTATAATCTATTAATTCTGAATTTGAATGTTTTTTAATTGTTTGCACTTGGCATAGTCAGTAAAAAGTTCACAGTGCTGTTGACAAGTTTACTCGCCCCCTAATATTTTCCAGCCAATTTATTAGACACATCGTTTTGATGATATATGACTAGATAAAATTTCAAAAAAAGTATGTTTGTACACGTTAACTTGTTTTGGCACATGGGAAGGAACATTAAAAAAAGGTCTGGCAGTCAATGTGTATTTTTCTACAATTACTATTTTTAATGTATATACAATAAATTTGTTCCATTGTATTATCCAAATGACTTATTTTCATTTGTAAATAATATTATCTGAATAGGACAAGAAAATATTTCCCTCATTCATGGTAATTTAAAAAGGTTTTTCCCCAAATATTCCCCAGAGTATATGGGTCTTTAAAACTAATATTTTAAACTAAATACTAATTAATAAAAGGTTAATAAAAATATTTGTGTAGTGTCAGCTGTTTGGTGCATCAGGAACTGTTTGGTTTCCCAGCCCCGAGAGGTCTGTGTTTTAATCCTTGCGCTGTGCATTTTGATTGTATCCTTGAGCAAAGTCCTTTTAATATCTGCATTGCTTCAGTCTACCCAGGTATACCGGTACCAGAAAATTGCTGGAAATTCCAGGGGTAGCATCACAGTCATCCGCTTCACGCTACAGATACTGTGAATAAGCTCAGCCCTATGACCCTTAGTGGCTCAGCAAGGATTTACTCGTTTTTATTTTACTTTTATAATATATGTCTTTAATTTATATTGTAGTGGACATTATTATGAAAGGGCTTCACAATACTTAGTAACAATCTTACACAACAGTCAACATCCTCACTTCCATATTAGGTAGTAGTATAATATAAACTAAATGCAAATAAGGGAACATTTTTTCATAAGTAGGATTGACACCCATGAGATTAAGTTTGGGTGCTTGAAACTTAACGTCCCCACGTTCTACTAAAGGTCACGCTATTATGGTGATCGATGATGGTTATCAATCATATTTAAAGAAATTATGGTAACGAGGCTATAGAGCAACATGGTTGACAATTATGTGGATTTAAGTTTAGATGACGAGATATGATGCTAATGAAGAAAGATGTGATTACTACACTAGAAAGGTCACAGGGAATAAATGGGATGACGGATTGCAGAAGGAATATACAGTATGTTGTAGATGAATAATGAATGTAAACAACACATTCAAATGATTTAAATGAAAATCGTGCGTCTCCTAGAGGCCCACAAGGGGTTACCTTTATGTGCTACATGTTTTAATATATTATCCAAGTCCATAATGGAATTAAGAGCTTTTATGATAAACTATATAGGTTCACCCAATAAAATTGGTTGTTGCTTCTCGCGTTGAAGTATCATTTTGGGAATCGAATAAGAACATTTTGTATAGATTAACTGAGTCCTGGATCATTTGGCAATTTAATCAACGTTGATTCCATATGTGTTCCGGTCCACTGGGCACACAAATCATAACTAAGGGTGAGCATTGTTACCTAATGGTTTCCAGGCAGAAAGCACAGATATTAAAAATCTATCTTTGAATTTAAACTTATGACTTTGGTAGCTAATATTTTGTTGTAAGGTATATAAATTTCCAAGAACTCATCCCATTGGTAAAAATTATTTCGTGTTGTTTATGTTGGTATTATGCTGGATAGTAGGTAAAACAAATATATATGTGTAATTTTTTAATTATTTAAAATTTAATTTAATATTTCCTAATATATTTCTTATA